TAGTTAATTGAAAAGAGACGAAAATAAAGTAAAATAGAAATATTGGGGCGTCACGGTAGCGCAGTGGGTAGCACGATAGCCTCACAGCAAGAAGGTCGCTGGTTCGAGGCTCGGGTAGGTCAGTTGTCATTTATATGTGGAGTTTGCATGTTCTCCCCATGTTCGCATGGGTTTCCTCCGTGTGCTCTGGTTTCTCCCACAAGTCCAAAGACACACACTATAGGTTAATTGGGTAAGCTGGAAGGGCATCCGCTGTGTAAAATATATGCAGTGGTTCATTCTGCTGTGGTGACCCCAGATTAATAAAAAGGACTAAGCCAAAAGGAAAATAAATGAAAATATAAATATTAGATGAACTAAATATAATGGATGGCACGGTGGTGCAGTGAGTAGCGCTATCACCTTACAGCAAGAAGGTCGCTGATTCGAGCCCCAGCTGGGTCAGTTGACATTTCTGTGTGGAGTTTGCATGTTCTCCCCGTGTTCCCATGGGTTTCCTCCGGGGACTCCGGTTTTCATAGTGTAAATTTTCCATAGTGTATGTGTGTATGTCCTGGTCCTCCAGCACTGAAAAAAGTGTTGCATGCAGAACTGTTGCAAACAATTTATTTGTGTTGAATTTAAACAAACAAATTAAGTTTATTAATGTTCAACTTAATTTGTTTGTTTAAATTCAACACAGATAAATTGTTTACAACCACCTTACGTAAAAAAATTGAGTAAATCCAAGGAGTCATCTCTAAATAATTTTTTTCAGTGAGGTTGGGGCTTGAACGTTGGGATAATGACTCACCTTGTAATAATGAGATGTTACCAACACGGTGCGGCTAATTATAAGTAAGTAAATATTACATAGTACTAAATCGGCTCGCATGGTTCAGGATTGGTAGAGCTACGCATCGATGAATTTGCTCTTCAGTGTTTGAAATCTCAGTAATGATTAAATCACACTGAACTGAGCTAAACTGAACTGAACTGAACTTAAACACTAAAAAACTGAACTACACTGTTTCAGTTACTATGACCCTTTATGTGAAGCTGCTTTGACACAATCTACATTGTAAAAGCGCTATACAAATAAAGCTGAATTGAATTGAATTGAATTGAATACTAAATGTATAAACATTAAATCTAAATAAAAAATTTTACAAACTGGAAATAATGCAAAATATAATAATAATAATAATAATAATAATAATAATAATAATAATAATATAATAATAATAATAATAATAATAATAATAATAATAATAATAATAATAATCAATAAATAAATTATTAATAGTTCCTTTAGATCTGCTGTTTATTAAACTGAAAGAATGAACTGTACTAAAAAAAAAAAAAAAACATTAATATTTTAAGCATTTTTTTAAAAGAGCCTATTAAACAATCCAGGCTCATCCTGATAACGTACCCCATACATTTCTGGAGAGCGCCAAATACGTCCCAGAAGCTTTGCTTTTCTTTTTGTTTTTTGCAGTTTTTGTTTTGGCGAATCCGCCAGTGGCCACTGTGTACACTTTGAGACCTCAAATTTCTCTTGCAAGTGCTATTCCTGCCGGCTGTTCTCACGTTTGTGCACCTCAAGCTTGTGCACCTTGTGTCTGAGCCCAGTCAGACACATTAACTGTAATTAATGGTAATTAACTGTAATTAAACTATTGTTAATAGGTGGGCTGCTATAACAGACATTCTAAACTACAATTCTGAGTTGCTTGAACTACAGAAATTAGTTCAGATTTATCTTAATGAATATTGCAACAAGGATGAAGCATGTAAACGGCATTGTTTGTTTATTCACAATGAACTAAAACAAAAGAGGACATTAAAAGCTGACAATCATCCTTTCTGCCATGGCAAGCCTACTTCCTGTGTCTGTTCATCGTGGAAGTCGGCATTTGCTATCACCTCTTGCACTTGGCATGCGCAAGCAGAGAGTGAGCAGTGCGTGTTTTTTCAGCATCCATGTTAACAGATTAGAGCTTTTAAACCGCATGCAGAAGCAGTGCGTCAGTGCAGAGTGTGAGCAGAGCTGAAGCACATTTTGGCACTGGGTCTATTTTTGCTGTTGCTCATGCTCAATTAAAGTGATGCGCATGACACGCATTGCAAATTGTGCAACTTTGTAGACCCACATTTGTTGCTTAGGCCGATTTTTCTAAAATAGCCATATCTGTCTGGTTGGGTTAAGTCTGGGATAGGGCAGAGAATCTAAACTCTAGCACCAGTTGACCAGTGTCCACCCTAAACCCAACCGAGAGTAGAGAGTCTCAGAAAGTTTTGTTAAAAGCAATCCAGTAAAAAGAAAAGCTGCTTCGTGGCAGCTGATTTTTACCCCATTTTCAGATTTTACCACATTCCCACCCTGTTATTTATTTTGTTGTTTGTTTTCATTTCTGGCTTTTGTTTTTGTCTTTTCTTTTCAGAATGAGCCTATGTTGTTATTAAAAGAGTATGTCTTTAAAAGGGCATAATAAAAGTCTGTAAAGTATTGCACTGCACTACACTACAGGCTATTTCTCTTTGAAAGCTAAAATAATGCATTAGTGAAAAATGATAAAAAATCTTTTTTGCGGGTTTGACTGACTGAAATAGAAAACATGATTTGGCCTTTTATTTAACTAAAGCCTCTTTCTGGCATTTTCCTGCACTTCAGGGGGTGAAATCACCCCAATGTTTTGATATTTTTCATCTGATATGACTCAATATATTAGGCTGTTCCAAACATGAAAACACTTGTGGTTAACGTCAGTATAAAAAAAAAAATGATTCCATGTAGGGTTATTTTAGTAATATGGCTGAATATTTTACAATGCTGTGATTAACAGGCCTTTGGCTGAAATAAAGTAATCAGTATCATTATAAGAAACACATGGCGCAAGTATGCCACAGATCCACTCTATTTGTATTTTATTATTTAAAATTTAAACTTGTCACACCTTTTAACAACAAAAGCAAAACACAATTATGAACTTAAATAAGTAGGAAACTACTGTGTAAAGTGTCAGGGGTAATGCATTACAAGTAACGTGAGTCATGTAATCAGATACATTTTTTACAAGTAATTATTAAAGTAACACATTGCTTCTTCATTTCCAAGAAAGTTTTACTTTTTTATGTAATGCCAGTTACTTTGCTTTCTCATGTAAATATTGATAGCTCTCCCATAGACATAAATTTACATTTCCTTGTTTATTCACTTCACATTTCTCTTTTGGAGTAAAAGGGCTTTTCATTTTTCACTTTTATATAATAACAAATAAGAAGGCCCAGCCCCGATTGAAAAAATTCAAGTAACGTATTATTTTCACAGTATCTAAGTACTAAATTGTATTATTTTTATTCGATTTAAAAGTAAATTTCCACAAAACTTGTAGGTACTACATTTGTTTTGAAACTTACTTTGCATATTCTAGAGTACAGGTGTTGAATCCAGTTCCCGAAGGGCCGCTGTCCTACAAAGTTTAGTTTCAACCCTGATTAAACACACCTGATCAAACTAATCAGGTCCTTCAGTTTTGTTTGAAACCTGCAGGTAATTGTTTTGAAACAGGGTTGGAACTAAACTGTGCAGAGCTGCAGCCCTCTAGAAACTAGATTTGGTGTTCTAGAGTCTACATATAAATGTGTTCAGCATGAATGAAATACAGACTACATCCACCATGTTGTCACTGTCATGTGACCTATGCTATCACCTATTCACTGACATTCACAACTCCTCCACTGTTATTATTTTTTATTTTACAAATTATTTATTTTTAATTTAATTATTATTTTTATACACTGTATTGCTGCTTTTTTTGTTGTTATTGAATCAATTATTTTCAGTCAAACTGACAAAAATATGAAATGAAACCTGATTAACTTATTGAAATAAATTAAAGAAGCATAAAGAAATTTTCTGTCATGACTTTTTGTCATATCAGTTTTTAACAGTGTAGTGTACCTAGGTGACATACTGATTTTCATCAACATTCATTAAAGTATGGAAGTAGGCATATGAGTGAATTTGTTTCCAGCAACCCAAAAATTATTCATGGTGCCAGCATAAACAGACAAACAACAATAAACTCTGGGGTCATCAGATCTAAAAGTCTTATTTAACAACAATGAGCCGGAACACAGCTGGATAATGTCATCCCGGCTCAATACCAACAATATTAATAAAAAAAATTACACTGATTTATGCTTTTGAAAGAGCTCTGGAATAAAAACGAAAGCTAATAAAAGCTAAACATGACTCCTTTTATGTCAAGACACTGCTACATCCAAGATATACATGTCCAGAAACCCAGAAATAGCTCATATCCAGAACAGCTTTGATCCTCAGTCAACACACTGATACTCATCGGCCTACACGAGAACAGATTCTGGAACAGTGTTCAGAACGGGACTCCCTTCAAACGTGCGCCATGAAACGGTAGCAGGTCAAAGGCATTGAGGACAAAAACCAGAGGCTGGACGAGCAGGAATGCAAATGTGTGGAAACGAGGGCTAAGAAAGAGCATGCGCTTCCTCTGAAGGGTCTGCAGAGGTCATTGGCCTGGCAACAACAGGGCAATGCAGGGAGGAGGAATGAGCTGAATCTTTGGCATTGAGCTGGAGAATTGTATATGCATTTTCCTGTGAGGCCCGGAGACACCCTTACAGCGGACAGGGGGAATTCCAGTCCCTTTTGGGCTATTGTACCCAAAATACTGCAGACCATCTAACATTCGCCCCCCTCCAATGCCTGAAAGAACGGAAAAGACAGATGCGCTCCTGCTGACGAACGGGATATATTTACGAGCTTGGACTCAATATGTTATTGTTACCATATTGCTGCTAACAGAACTGGCAAACCCTTTCACTGATCAAAAATGTACGTTTGCTTTCTTGTTTCGACAACATGATTAATTGCCTGATGCATAACTCTCTTGGTACTAATTAGTGTGAGGCTGGGAATGAGAACGGAGGTCAGATCAGTTCAAATATGTCGGTTTGCAGGCATTTTTTCTTACCTGTATGCGAGTAGATAAACCATAGAGCTCCAGTCAGAAGGGCTCCAATTACAAAGGCAGCAAACGCGATGCCCACCACAGTTGGGGTGTCCAAAACATATATGATGCCTGCAAGAAGAAATATAATATGTTAAATGATGCCTATTAACCATCTACATCAGGGATTCTCAATATCGGTCTTGGAGGTCCTGTGTCCTGCAGATCAGACACACCTGGGCTGGCTAATCAAGCTTTTACTAGTGCTGCATCCCAATTTGCATACTATCCATCCTATCTAGCATTCAAAAATAGAATTAGTATGTCCCAAAACATAGCATGTTGAAAAGAGTGTGCCAAAGGTACCCGCATGGTTTACTATTTTCAGTAAAAATTCGAAGTGTAGAAGCGTCCATACTCTAACCGCTAATATTGCCCCCAATACATTGCATGTTGGATGTGAAATTGATTAGAACTACAAGCTCGGGTAAAGTGTTAACAAACTACAACACAAGGCGGACATGTAAGACCAACCGTGAAGCCGAGAGGCTCTGGTAAAGATGTTTGAATGACTGGTAATTAATATCTGCCAAACTGAAACATATTTAATTGCGTTTTCCATGTTATATTTCATCTGCAACAAAAATGTTAACTTATATGAAGATATGTTTGGATATTACCCAGCAGGCACACAACATCATAAGACGTATTACACTGTAAAACTCAAAAAGTTAAGGTAACTTAAACCGTTTGAGGAAACCAATTGCAACAAACCATTTGCGTTAAAAAACTCATCTATAAGAGCACTGTGAACTTATTCCATTTAAGTTGAACTAATGAGGTAGTTAATTAACTCATAACCTTCAACACTGAGTTCAAAACTCTTTTCAAATGAGTAGAATGAACTTTCAGTAAATTTTGAGTTAACTACAGTAATTTCGTTTGATAATGTTGACTGTTTGGGTTTTACACTGTAGATTCGATTTAGGTCGTGACATCAGGTTACCAAAATTCAATGCCTAGCCAGCGTCTAGGGACAACATTATTTTGATGTCCAAAAAGTATATGCTTTTCTTTACTAAACAAGTGCATACTTATGGGTGTAGTTTAAGTATGGGAGTTGGGATGCAACATAAGCTTTCTAGAAACATAGTTGCAGGTGTATTAAGGCAAGTTGGAGCTAAACTCAGCAGGACACCAAACCTCCAGAACCAAGTTTGAGAAACCCTGGTCTACATGTTCAAATGTCTCCCTCTGTGGTCAAGATCTTAGTACAGTTTGGTAAATATTTGGTACACCGCTATTAGTAATGTGTTTGGGGAAACGAAAGAACGTGAGGAAACAAACAACATCTTTGAGCCCTCTTTAAAAATCATCCAGGCACATGCTGCAAATAAACAACTGACAGGCTTTCTTTATTTTCTTCAATCAGTTGAACATAAACAGCTCTGTTGTCATTGAAATAGTTCATTATAACACGCTGGAAACTGGAATCAGAGATCTGGAACACGCTGGAATCAGAGATCATTGGTTTGCTTGATTTCAAAAACAAGATCTTTGGCATTGATGTTTCCATTACTAGATCTAAAACTAAAACCAAATAAGTTATCTAAATACTGATTATGCTCTATTATCTGTTATCTAAGCACTGATAGGTCATCTTGCAAATGTTGATTTAACACAAACCACTAATCCAACATTTGCGAGATGACACATTTGTGCTTTTAATGGATGGATTGTAATTTGCATCTGTTGTTACTGTTGCTTTAAATTCTTTTAGCACATTTAATTGTATTATATTTAGAATTTCAGAAGTGTCATTACAAAGAGAACTGCAGTAAAAAAAAAAAAAAAAAAAAAAGTACTGAAAGATTAAAAATTAAAAACACCAAGACCAACATCTGAGTTAGGTCAATCAAGTCTGAGTAGACTAATCCAGAGTTTAACACAACTACTATAAAAAGGCACTATTAAAAGAGCACGGATATTACAAGTCACCATGGCAACATCTTGAAAAAGAGATTAGCATTTTTATAGCAATTATGACCATTTATTTAAAAAAAAGCAACAACACTGCATCAGTGAGACTTTTAGCATGGGAAAACAAAGCTGCTTAATTTAATGCATAAGTTTACATTTAAAATATTAAAACCATTAAAATATTCAAGCATAATAAAAAATAAGTAATTTAATGTGTGATGTTTATTGACTTTTCAATTCGGAGAATTGGCCGTAATTCGTAATTTTGAAGTTTTTTGTAATTACATTAATTTATATAAAATAGGCTACTGCATAGTAACAATAAATTTGACAAAACAAGAATGCATATAACCTTAACTTGATTTTCAGCGGAAATGTCTAATTTAAGGTTCCCACTTTTCACATGTTGATCAGTTTAAGATAAAATGATTTAAATTGAGTTTTTAAATGGTTTAAAAGTGCACTTGTGTGTCTGCTTTTTTTATTGTTCAAGTGGTAGAGGTTGATGACATTTAGACTGAAAGCAGTACTAAAAATAGTTTTCAAAACAAGTAATAATCCCATTAATCTAGTTACAGTACATGTCCCTGTCGAATGTCAGTGAATTTAAGCTAATTATTTATTTTGCAGCAATATCAAATGTAAAACTTAAAACTATGGTATTGGATCTAATAGTAATTTTCCCAAAAAAGGACAAGCCATTAACATAACTTTGTTACTTGTGTGACTGAAGTGTGGGCAATGAATGACTAAGAAAGACAAATACCAACAAAAACTCAGAGTTCAGAGAATAAAACCTGCTCATAACCAGGTTAGGTTCACAGACCTGAATGAACACGGTAACTGACTAAGTAAAAGTTACATCTACTTCAGAAACAGGCTTGATTTACCCTGCTTTCTCGAGTTTGTGAAATGGAAAACTCAGAGGAAATGGGAAAACTCAAAACTCGCACAAACACACACACATATATAACTGTAAACTACATTCTATTTTTTGTAAAAAAGTTCAATGAAAAAAACTATGCTGTTGTATTATACATAACATGACTTTGTATAATAATAATAATAATAATAATAATAATAATAATTTTTCTCTTTTTTCTAGTAATGTACAATTGGCTGTTCTGTCTTATCATTCATAGGTTTACTCTGTGTGATGATCAAAAATGTATATGACTTTAAAAATCATGGAAGCGCAAATTTATTATTTACACATGGACACATATTTAAAGCATGTTGAACCATATGGTTCTTCTTCTATTTTTTGTTTTGAACAGGAAACATTTCACTTCTAATGCCTGTCTTTTAATTACAACTCTGTGCAAGATGTGGTTCCTGATGTTTGCACGCAGTCTAGTGAAAATATTTGGCAACCACGTATAAAGTAAGAGCACATGCTTCATATGGGCTTTGCATCGGCATCCGAGAGCAAAGCCAAGCATCTGAGAACCTCTTTGGAGTCATGCCACAAACCCAATGACTTTCAGAGCTCTAATTAGCTCTAATGATCACTGATCACACAGCACAATAGACTCTATGTGTCCGCCAGCTTCATAGCCTGTCTGGTTGTGCGCCAAAAACCCAGGCACAATAGAGGCTATTCTGATAAAGAGCACCTTCAGATTTTCATCTCCTCAGACAGACTGATGACAGACTATCAATGAAGCGCTCTGGTAGAACAAGAGTGAGCTCTATTTAACAGCTCCCATCTAATGCTTTACCCTTTACCCTGAATCACCAGCACAACCACCCGCTATATCATATCTGTGCAGACCAGCTCTTATAAATCAAGCTTGCCATCAACGCCTGTCTATGCATGCATTCCTGAGGTCTAGGCAAAAATGGCAGAAACAGAAAAAAATACACTACCGTCTAAGTTTGTAGGTTTATTTTAATAATAACCAAGACTAAATTGATTTTTTAAATGACATTTTTTATATAATACAATTATATATTATACAATTATGCCGTCGAACTGTTGTATAAATGCAATATCACACTCGTAGCACTGCGATAAGGCTGTATATCATCACCAATGCCAATACATGCCTCCCACCAGTTCCGATATACAGCAATATTGCACTGCTACTTGTGTGATATTGCTTATATTAACTACACACATTGATATTGAGTGCTGAGTATTGTTTCCTTCAGCATTACGAAGCTCTTTCCTCTACTTTTAGCCATATTTTTGATCCTTGTTTGCTTTTACTGTTTATGTCTGTTTTGCTTCCTGCCTTGACCCTTTTGCCTGTTACACCAAGTATTCTTTGGATTATCTTTATGCTACCATCTGCTCCTGTATTGTATCTTGTCTGCGCTGCGTTTGGCTCCTACCCTTGTTGTCATCTCCCTTTATTACAGTTAGAGTGATTTCTGAGGGATCATGTAATGACGCTAAACATTCAGCTATAAAATCACATGAATAAATAACATTTTAAAATGTATACAAATAAAAAACAAGAGCAAAATGTTTTTAAATTGTACTGGTTTTAGCTTTACTTTTGCATAAAGTAAACTCAGGTTTGGTTAGCAGAAGAGACCGTTCTAAAACTTTTCAAATGGTAGTTCCAATACAATTTAATACAACTTAATCAAGTATTTAATCTTTGAAAAGTTGTCAGAATAGACACCATAGAGTGCAAATACAGTAAATATTTGTTAAAATAAACAACCATGCAGTTGTTAATTAGCAAATATTTTTAAGCATATGAACACATCTTCAGTGGTGTTACACAGAATACAGTCTGGTCTATCCGTTTCAGCAAAGCAAGAGAATACTAATAATCCTCACAATGTACATTATTTACGGCTTACAAGAGGAAGCGAAAGTGAACTGAGAACAAAAGCTTTTATGTTTCTGGGAGAAGCTTTGTCAGCTGGATGCTCGGAGTCAGGGATGTGGTTTGCTCTGCTGCTGTCATCGGTTTGGCTTTAGTCACTCCACCCACAATCCCTGTGAAGTACCTCAGAGGGGAGTAAATGAACTAGCCCTAATGACTTGGACATTTCTATGTAGTCGCCACCGCCCAAGATCACCTCCTGGGTGTCAGAAAGCATTTGTACTGCTCTTTACTTCACCTTTTGTAAGTCTAGCTAGCTTTCGCAAGAGAAAGTAAAATTAAATGAATGAGAACAATACTCTTGTGTGC